AAACACTATTTTTAGAAACACCCTGTCACCCCGGTATTCTCGATCTTTCCACGTCCCCTCCCCTCCCTCTATATCTCGTCCCCATCTCCCGTCGACCCTCCCAACCCATCCCACACCCAACCCACTCTTTCTCTCTCTCGACACGACTCTCTGCTTCACTCCTGCTTACTGATCCCATGCTCTCCCTTCTCGCTGCCCGTCCTCTCGACATGCTCCTCGCTCCTACCCCTCGCTTGTCTTACCCCTCGGTCTCGGTCTGGGACGACCTGCAGCCGTCCTGGTACGACCGCGTCTCAGCCTCCCGGCTTCTTGACACCGCTGCCATGCCTCGCATCGAGTCTCGCCCGGACAGGCACGTGGTGACCATGGACACGCCCGGAGTACCCGCGGGAGACCTCGCGCTGAGCCTGGTAGGCGACCGGACGCTAGAGCTGGTAGCCTCGTCGAGCATCTCACCCACCTCCGCGGCAGCCGACGCTCGTCTGGACGACGAGGCTGCTCAAGCCCCTGGTGCTCACCCCGACCGATCGTCCCTTCGCCTCCGCCAGCGCATCGTCCTCCCTGCAGACTGCGACCCCGGCGACATCCGCTCGGAGTACTGTGACGGCCAGCTTCGGATCGAGGTAGCCCGACGCCAGCCTGCCGATCGCAGCACCAGCCAGGACGACGAGCTGTCCGAGGAAGCCCGCCGGCTCAAAGAGACTTGTGCCAGCAAGCGCGCTCGAGTCGCCGAGCTGACGGAGGAGCTCCGCCGTGAGCGCCGGGACCTCGTCGGTCTGGAGAGCGAGCTCCGAGCAGCAAGAGAGGAAGCCCGCCGGAAGCGATCGACCCGCCGGACCCCCATCGCCATCCAGCATCCTACTACGACCGACCGTGCAGCTCTACAAGCACCCAAGGCAGACAGGACGGAGTAGGAAACGCTCTAGACTAGACACGAGCATGTAACTACGTAGAAGCTAGTAATGAACGCTTGATCTCGAGTACTTGCGCTTGACGACGAGATGTCTCCGGCTGCCTGACAGCCCTGGACCCCCTTCTTGTCGCTGACTCGAGGTATGAGGGAGGGCCCCCCTCTCTTCCTGTACCTCGCCCCCGCCACCTCCCTGCCCCTCCTTCCTCTCTCTGTGGCCTACACAAGCCCTGACTCTACAGCCTCTCGGTACGGCAGCCCGCCGCCGCTCCACCCATCGCCTGTCTGCACGGGTGCCCGCGCCGCTGCCGCTCAGACCCTCCTCACCTCACCTCGCCTCCTCCTTGAGCTCTCGCAGTCTACCCGGCAAGGTAGGGGAACGTGCCTTTATTGTACAACAACGTCTACAGATAGGTCTAGTCTCTACACGGCTTGCCTACTAGGCTGTGTGCAGGCTGCAGGCCGCCTGAGGAGGGAGTCAGCGGCCCGTCTCTCAGCCTGGTTGCTAGAGCAGAGGGATCCTGTGCCGCGGGGGCGCCTGTAGCTCCTCCTCGGGTCGCTTGACGGACACTCGGAGGACTCCGTTGTCGTACTTGGCCTCGACCATGTCGGGCTTTGTGTGGGGAGGGAGGGAGACGCGCTTCTCAAACGCCGCATACGACGCTTGGACTCGCGCCGGCTCCTCCGACGTCTGCTTGGAGGACGAGCGGCCGGAGATGACTAGGGTCGGGGGGACGTCGCCTGTGGCCTCGAGGACCTCGACGGCGATGTCGTCCTTGGCGAGGCCCGGGGTAGCGGCGGTGACGAGGAGACGATCGGAGGTCGACTGGATGTCAAAGTGAGGCCGCAGCCGCATCACCGCCCCTCCTCCCTCCCCGTCCGAGGGGCTAGGGTCGTTGGTGACGGGACTCGCAGGCGGGTCGCGACAGGCCTCGTCCGGGAGGAGGAAGCCGCCGGTGACATCCATGACGGAGTCGAGCATGCGGTCCATCTCCTGCTCCAGCCGGCTCATCGTCGACAGGATCTGACGCGGGCTGCTAGGAAGCGACGCCGACAACGGTCGGTAGGGGTCCAGCATGAAAGCGCTCGGAGTGATGAGGAAGGCGGAGGACGAGGAGAGCATGACCAAGTCAAGGAGAGCAATTCGGGCCCGGATGACCAATCACAGGACAGGACGCGCACGAGGACGAGCTACGCGGCATCATCGCAAGCTACTGGCTGAGGTCCGCAAGCTGTCGGGCGACTCGGATAAGAAGGCAAGGGGAGGATGGAAGGGAGGAGGGGGAGGGGTGCTGGGAGGCTTGGTAGGGATGAGGGGTAGTACCGTAGACCAGCAAAACTGAGTCTAAAAATACACACAAACCTCCGTACAAACACTATTTTTAGAAACACCCTGTCACCCCGGTATTCTCGATCTTTCCACGTCCCCCCTCCTCCCTCTATATCTCCTCCCCATCTCCCGTCGACCCTCCCAACCCATCCCACACCCAACCCACTCTTTCTCTCTCTCGACACGACTCTCTGCTTCACTCCTGCTTACTGATCCCATGCTCTCCCTTCTCGCTGCCCGTCCTCTCGACATGCTCCTCGCTCCTACCCCTCGCTTGTCTTACCCCTCGGTCTCGCTCCTGTCTGACCTCGACTCGGTCTGGGACGACCTGCAGCCGTCCTGGTACGACCGCGTCTCAGCCTCCCGGCTTCTTGACACCGCTGCCATGCCTCGCATCGAGTCTCGCCCGGACAGGCACGTGGTGACCATGGACACGCCCGGAGTAC